CTGGACAACAGCTTCTGACAATCACTCACTAACTTATTTATATAGGCCAGTGCTAAAAATAAGGTTAGAGAAGCACAAAAGTAATTTGTGGTGACTTCAATTAAAAATGCACAGACTGATAAACAGGGACCAGGACTGAGAACAAATATCTAACTCAGTAGAAGAAAGCCAGTCTTACATGCTTGGGCTGGATCTCAATGCGGCGGATTAACTCTGTGTTCTCCCAGTCGTAAAATGCCAGGCCGTTCACCGACCTCACCCCAAGCAAGAAACCTCCATAGATACCTGTAGAGCAGAAATACAGGGAAAACGTCTGGTGAGAAAGACAGCCAACATACTTCCACTTCCAGTACCACAAATCCATCAGAAGCTAAGATTTCATTACCTTCAGCTCCAAAGTCGGGCTTAAACGATTTCTTTTCTTTGAAGTTTTTAAAGATTTTGACGACACTGCTGCTTTCTCTAATAGCATATCTTTAACAAAGAAATACAGATGTTATTCAATAAGAGAGTAGCAAAGGATTAGGGCAAAGTTACGCTCAAGTTACGTTTTAAAATGTTCACTTACTCAGAAGAATCGTGTGCCCACACAAACTCCTGTGCTGAACCAAAGCTCTTGTTTCTCAGTGCCATAGCGGTGTAGATGATGTACTCTCCATCTCCACACACCACAACAAACCTGGTAAATGGAAAAACTGCAAATGAAGCTCCTCTGATAGAAATGTTATTATAAAATGACCAGAAACAAACATCTGTGATGCTCATTTCTGTGGATTTATAAAAAAAAAAAAAAAGGGCTGGACCAAGTGCATGTCTACCTTCCATTAGGGTTGTGCTGGATGGTTTGAGGGTAAATCTCACAGCTGCCCATGTCTTTGACAGCCAACGGTAGCCTCTCTCCATCCTTGATTTCGGCATCACCCATGGCCTTCAGGTTGGCCTGCTGTATTTCACTGTGTTTGGCCCAAATGATTTTGCCACTGGTGTCCATAGACATGGCTGGCTCCTCCCGACCCACCTATCCAGGAGTGGATGACGGAAAAAGAAGATAGATTGGAAGAGGATGAAAATAGATTTAAGTTTTGAACACATAATTCATTTACAAAACATGATAACCTTGATAAAATTCAGCTATAAATTAATAAATTTCAAATTCATAGTGAGTCTTTGTCTTCTTCCTTTCCCTCACTTTGATAATGATGCTGCCTTCATCGTAGCCCAGCGCCACATTGTTGGAGCCCCTGAGACCCGACACACACCACACTCGCTCCATGCCATAGTTCAGTGTGCTCTCAAGGCGGTAAGTGCTCGAGTGCCAGATACGCACGGTCCCTGTAGAGGGAGAGAGAACACAGTGTGAAAAGCAATAATTAATGAGATGGCAAAAGATGCATTTTGTGGGTGCACAGGTGAGGATGAGTGGGATTCCTGCTCACCATCCTCTGATCCAGTAATGATGATGGGCAGCTCTGGGTGGAAACTGACGCAAGAGACATTTTGGGCGTGGCCCTCCAGAGTTTGAACGCAGGTCTTGTTCTACAACACACAGCGACAAATGGGTGAAACACTCACATGCACACAATGCTAAACCAACTCTTACCGCAGTAGCACAAGTAAATAATCACAACATTAGGAAAATCAAGTGAAATTCTCCTACCTGGTAGTCCCAGATCTTGACTTGGCGATCATCAGCCCCAGATATCAGGTAGGGCTTGTCTCCTCCACTGTAGTAATCAATACAATTTACTCCTTTCTCATGACCTTCCAAAGTGAAATTGGGAGATGAAGAGCCAAGCTGCCACACCTGTAAGAACCCCAAGAACATGACTACAAATACTTCATGAACTTTTAACTACATATGTGTAATTTATAGTCATAAAGGAACCTACAATAGTGTATGACCCACAGTTCACAATCCACGGTGCAGATATACTATTCCTCCAGAACTCTCCAAAACATTTAGCTCCTAGGACTAATTTCCAGAAACCTTGAAGTGAAGTAAATATTGCTGTGGGATTTCACTATAGTATAAAATCTAAAAAGCAGACACTGGCCTGATGACATTTTAAAAAGAAAAAGCTATTTTACCACATAATTTCTGTGCACCATCACAAAATAATAAACATTTTACCTTAAATGCTGACAAGTTGATTTTTTTTTAAGAGTATAAGCTCAAATTCCAACCGGATACCCTTGTCTGCATAAATGCTTAAAAGATCATGAACCTTCTCAAGTCTTACTACGGGAAACAGGACTCAGCTTTAGCAGAAGCAGAAGTGAGAAAATACAAAGCAAGAGGCTCCTACCTTAATTGTTCTGTCCAAGGAAGCACTGGCAAACTGATTGTTGTCCTTGGGGTTGATGACAATCTGCATAACATAATGAGTGTGACCCTCAAACACCTGGCTGCATGACCACTTCTTCTCCCAGTCCCAAAGCTTGATCAACATGTCATCTGCAATGACACAAAAACACAGTCATGCATAAAGACAAGTCTTCATAGTTTGATCTGTGGAGCATGTGTATGCAGAATGCCACAGATTTACAAAAAAACTAAATGAAGAAAGAAATCATGAGTTTACTAGCGTACCGCTGCTGGTGAGGATGTATGGCTGGGTTGGATGGACAGCAATGCAACGAATGTAGTCGGAGTGTGCCTCAAACATGTGAACTCGCTCCAAGGTGTTGTAGTTGAACACACGGATCTGCATGTCATCCTACACAGGGATAATAAAAAAGCTGAGTTACTACTTGAAAACACATCATTTTAAGATTTTAACAACATTGGAAAACAAGATATGATCATGTGACTCCCTCAAAAACTTAGTGCACATAACATCTGAAAGATAACAATATCCTTAAAAAAATCATGTCATTAGTTTTTAAAAGTATTACTTAAAAGTTACTATTTGGCACTTCTGTTGTTTTTACTAGATGCAGGTGGATGTCTCCCTAGTGACCTGGTAGTTGACTATTTGAGTGGCAGACCACAGCATGTGTGGGATCAGGTAGGGTGATGAGGAACTATGCTGTGGCGGCAACTTTGTTACATAGTGTGAGCAGAACAATCTGTATCTTAATGTGACAAAAACTATGGAGCTAGTTGGGGAGGATTGGAACACTGATGATTCGTATTTCTATACATGAGATCTGGGCAGACACAGGGAATGACCACAATAACAAAAAACTGAACTTCAATATACATACAGAAGACCCCCTACAGTAAGTGCTAGAGGAATATCTACTTTCTGAAATGACTGAGCTCTTTTAATATCTTCTGGATGATACACAATATTCTCTGGTGGCCAGTGGCATTCTCTATTCTGTTGTCTTTGATGGGGCATTAAGCTGATCCACAGGACCAGAAATGTTGGTGATTTGGAACTTGACACTCTGAAAGCAGTTTTTCAGAAAAGAGGATGCTATCTAAGTTATCGAGAATACTGGTCAGTCTTTTAACCCCATCCATGACAGTCACAAGAGCATGTTTTCATTTGCCATGTCTTGTTTATAATATCCATAACATTTTAAACTTTTTGGAGTATTTCATTTAACATACAGCACCTTTGATTTGTCAGCTTTTTTTTTTTTCCCTGAGCTGTGATCCCAACAGAAATAAGTAAATATCACTCACCGCTCCTGTGATGACCCAGTTCTTCCTTGCCACAAATTTAGAAGCTCTGACAGGCAGGTCGCAAACTTCGAAAGTCTTGACAAGAGTCTGAAAAGAGAGCCGGCTTATAGTTTGCAACATATGGATGCGACACATCAGTGATCATCTATATGGATGTGAAGTCAGCAGTCTTTTTTATATAAGCAATTTGGCACGACTGTCACACTGGCTTCGTACCTGAGTTTCATGGTTCCAAACACAGACGCTGCCGTTGTAAAGACTAGCAAGCATCCATGGCTCAGTTGGGTGAAGGTCCACACTCTTCACCCGGTCTGACCTGGCTGTCAGCCTCCGCTTAATGTCCAGCCTCAGAGGCTGAAAAGACGGAAAGAGATCAGTGTTTCCAATCGCTGTTACAGGTGTTATATTGAACTTAAAGTGTATCTTAAAAACAATGAAGCTTCAAACAACAACTGGTAGCAAAACCAAAGCATCGATTAGCAGCTAGCATTCAACTCAATATATTTCGTTTAATCAAGATAAATCTGTAACTGTGCATCCGTTAGTAATAACTGCGCAACTAACTCAACACAAATGTACCCACATGCTAACACTGGGAAAAAAAGCTTAGGTTGGAAATCCTAAAAGGCCGTAAGCTACAAGCTCTCGTGCTAACTCAAGCTAATTAGCCGCTAAGCTAGCTGCAAGATATTATTATTTGACATTGATTCACGGCTCTTTTTAAAACAAATAAGTTGGCATGCATACAAATAAAAACACACTCTGGGATGTTTAAAATGCCTCCTACCATGTTTTGTCCCCGTGTTGTCACAATAAAATCAGAGAAATGTGTTGCGAACAGTTTCAATCGGGGTCCAAATGTTGCGTTTTTCCAGTGAACAGCCTAGTGGACACTGACGTGGAACTTCCTGAAACGCAATCTCGCGTGAGTTGAGCCGTGCAAGTGCTGACGTGACAACATCCGTGAGCTTTGCTGCAGTCAGTCGTCAAGCTGCCACGGTGTCATTCTATCCTGTGTGTAAAGACTATATCCTATGTCTATTTTTATTCTATTATATCAGTTGCTATACAAATATAACTTCACCACCATCCATGGTTAGCCTATAGGATAAACAGAGCGCCTTTCCAATGTCATATTTTAAGATGAGTAATTTGTTGTCAATTATTTGTTTCGAAAGCAACATGAAAATTGTCCTAACCTTGTTGTCAGCTCAGTCTTATGTCCGTTTTATAATAAAAATGTAAAAATATGTAATTTTTTCTCCATTACTATCACATCATTGTCTGTTGTTAGATAGATAGATAGATAGATAGATAGATAGATAGATAGATAGATAGATAGATAGATAGATAGATAGATACAATATGGTTCTCAAAGCATCTTTATTCATCGATTCATTCTGCTTATATATTTAACAAAACATGTCACGTTCATTTAGAAGCATTGACTTTATTATTCTTTTTTCTTGAACACCTGACGACAAACTACACTTTCACATGTCAGCTCCTGTGGAGGAAGAGAAATCTCTTAATGTTATTCAGCAGAGGGATCAAAAGAACATTAAGCAATGTTATAGCTGGCCATTTTATACTTAACAGTCATATCCTGATTATGCAACACCTCCCACTAATGCAGTGGTTCCCAAACTTTTTTTTGCTAGGGCCCTCTTTGTTTTACAAGCAAAATGGGTTTAAAAACATAAACAACTGTGGGATACTGTTTGCCCGTGATTTGAACAGGGGGAACAAATTGTGGCAGGATATTATTTGTATCCTGCTGTAACTTTACTGTATAAAGAGCTAACATCTCCAAAATGTCAGGAGTAGTTAGTCATTACAACAAGTGTTTGTGAACTAAAAATCAAGAATGTGGGATACTGTTTGTCCGTGATTTGAAGAGCCCAGCGCTGCTCCCGACGAAGGAAAAACCAATTCTGCAAGGGAGACCTACCTCAGCACTTGTGCAGGTGAAACCAAAGGGAGGATATGCTTCATCATATTTTCTAGTCTTTGGCTTAGAATGAAGTTGGTTTGGAAACATATATAACTATGCTTCATCCCCTGCTTTGCGTTTGAGTGGGCGCCCCGTGCTAGCAGTGTCCAAGCGTTTTTGGGTTTTCTTTTCCCTTTTCATACCGCGCCCCCCCTGCAATGGCTCTGCGCCCAACCTAGGGGGCGGGCCCCACACTTTGGGAAGCTCTGCATTAATGGGACACATTTCTTTATTATCATTCAGCACACGCTCAGTCTCAAATCTTTCAAAAAAAAAAGAAAGAAAAGAAAAATCTAAATATCAGAAGCACTGTTAGCCCACCAGGTAGAGTTTGTCTCCTTCAGTCCAGTGCTTCCAGCCACGGTTGGCCTTCTCGCCTTTCTGAGTACACACAAGCTTGTCCCCATCCCACTTCACCAGACTCTGAAGACAGCAGTTAAACAGTTAAGCCAGTTTTTAGCTGGCGTAATGTAATTTTGTCTGAACATTGTGATAAGGAATTTCATGTTCAGATAAGCTTATATCACTGCTGCTCACATGCTCGGATTTATAACCCGAAGGCTAATGAACACTAACCAGCTTATCCTTGCTTTTATGCTAGTTTTTTAGCACTGACTTATCATAGGCCTATTTGCTCGTTTTTTAAAACATTAAAGCATCAGCTAGTGCAGAGTATTAAATGAAACTTGACACTGATGAGCTTATAAATCAGTCTGAAATATACAGGACTGAATACTAATTACAGATATATGAAATGAATCACCAGTGTGTGTGAATGTGTGTGTGAATGGGTGGATGACAGGTTGTGTAAAGCGCTTTGGGGTCCTTAGGGACTAGAAAAGCGCTATACAAATACAGGCCATTTACCACTTACCATGAAAGATGGATTCATTTTTTTAAGAACCTTTTGCTTCGGGTACCCTGGACACACATGGGCAAGGACTGACTTATCACATCTGGACTCCAGTGGTTATCTTACCTTGACATTTCTGTTGTCTAGTCCCTTGGTGTACTCATCAAACTCCACCCCTACAGTGAAGGCCAGCTCATAATTCCTAAAGGTGCTCAGTGTTTTGAAGTCAAACTTGTCCCCATCTTGGAAAACCACTTTGGTCTGAGATAGGGAGATGGCAATTTTCCTTGTAGCAAAGTCAATATCTAGGAGCAGATTACAGAAGATTGTTCAGGCTGTATCTGAAGAGGAACAGATGATGAAGTGCGGATGAACTGTGGTAACTCCTTAGTTACATATTAGTAATATAGCTAGCTGTGATTTTATATGTTGCGGTGATGTGAAAAAGTATTTGCCCTCTTCCTGATTTCTTATTTTTTCCATATTTTTCACACTTGTTTCAGATCATAGACAAAGAAAACCTGAATAAATGCAAAATGCTGTTTCTGAATGATGAAGAAAGAGGATACGGATCAAAGCTGGTCCTATGTTAAATTAAATTTTTTGGGAAGGTTTTAGTCTTGTTACATTTGGAATAAAACTAACACAGCATTGTATTGAAAGTACAACAAACCAACAGTTAAACATGGTGGTGGTAGTGTGATGGTCGGTGGCTGCTTTGCTGCTTCAGGACTTGGACGCTGATAAAAACCATGTTTTAAATGATAAAACCACGAATTCTGCTCTCTACCAGAAACTCCTGAATATCTGACCATTAGTTTGTGTCCTGAAGCTCAAGAGCACTTGGGTTATGCAGTAGGTAATGATCTGAAACATACCAGTAAGTCCACCTCTGAACGTGCCAAACAGGCCATTCATGCTTGAAAATCCTCCAGGGTAGCTGAATTTAAACAATTCTGCAAAGAAGAGCGGGCTAAAATTCCTCCACAAGGATGTGAAGAGTCTTTGCCAGCTATTGCATTAATTCTGTACTTGCTGCCAAGCGTGGCACAACCATTTATTAGACTTAAGGGGCAATTACTTTTTAACATGTTTGGATGACTGTTTTTCCCTTAATAGATAAGATCATTTTTTAAAAACTGGATTTCATTTTTACTCATGTTACCTTTGTCTAATATTAATTATTCATTGATGATCTGAAATATCTAAGTGTGACAACTAGGCAACAATTTAAGAAATCAGGAAGGGGGCAAATACTTTTTCACAGCATAATATGTATGTATGATGTATAATCACACTCAGTTTTACTCAACAAGAATCTGTAGTAAGTAGCTCAAAATTAGACGGTTGTTCTGTTAAGAAAAAGATTAAAAGTATTCAAATCTTTTAATCTTTCTTTAATCATATAACTAAGACATTTTAGTCTAAAATTGAACATATCAGGATGTAAGTTTTCTTACTCAGTACTTTCAAGTAATCCTCAAATTTCTCACTGGATTCCAGTATCCATTTTCCACTAAAGTCTGCTGGCATGGCTGCAGCTGGTGAAGCTGACATGTGACTGAAGAGTGTAGGGAGTGGGGAAGAGGCAGGGTGTCCTAATGCTGTGTTGCTTTTATATGAGTGGGGGGCACGGGGGCAGAGTGCAACTGATAAGTGAGTTTATAGCTTAAAGAGGATTGGCAGTGGCAGTTATTTCTAAGGGGGAGGACGTGCTTTCTGCGGTCACTGACGGAGGTTACCACAGGCACATCTGTGGGCATCCACGTTAAAGTGTACCATCACCATCGCTCTCAATGCACATGTGTAGCCAGGAGAGGCTATTCTGTTTTCAGTGCTAACACTGTTTGGTCTGTTTCAATGGCAAACTCAACCAGAGCATTTGAACTTTGAACAGGTTTGAAGGTTAATAAAGTTCAACCCAACCTTTTTGTTTTCCAGAGATCCCCTCCAGAAGGTTTAATGCTACAGTATAATCACATTGAGGCACATATAACTGAAACGCAGACTTAAAAAGAGCCCACCTTCAGCCGATGACCAACAAATTTATTGAGAATAAACACGCTTCTCTGGTTTTGTGTCGACACCTCACTCCTTCATAAAAGAACTTTTTTTAAACCACCCAAAGCAAGAGGACATAAATCAATAACAGCTCCTCTGAGGAATGATAAGTCAACAGAGCTTGCAGGTATACGCTGGCGAGGTGCCTGTGTGTGAATGCACAACAAGCAGCAGGAAGGAGTCAAAAGAGCAACGCGATCTGAAGCAGCAGCAAAGAATGAGCAAGTGAGTTGCACAGCACGTATAGATTATGCCCAATTGGTAATGACATGGCACAAAGCGAGGTGACAGATTAAGTGATTCAAAGCTAAATGTGACCTGAGCTGTTTGGTTCATTCGCAAGAGGAAGCAAAGAGATTTCTCTCACATGGGAAGAGAGGTATTTTCATCTCAAAAGAGCTTCTGATACACTGGATGGTTTAGAACGGCTTCATTTATTGATTGATTCAACATTCACAGCCACAGTCTTAAAGGAACTGGGACAAATACATGTAACATTTTTATTCTGGAGACTGAGCATCTCAGCCAAGTTCTGCTCTTACCATCGTCCTTCAGTTGTAATCATTTACAAAACTAAGTCAATACATTTCTCTTCACTGCATCCACAACATTCCCAGCTGGCTCGCCCATCAGATCAGCTACAACTATGGCACTTACGCATGCGTCCAGCACATCTAAACCTGCTAATCAAAGCACCCACCTTGAAACAAATACACAGTATTGGATTTTGTGGTGTTATATGTCAACTTGCCCATTTGTGCTACAAAGAAATTCCTTTGGCAAAGTAAGGCAACAGCATGATGGAACAGAAACATGTGTTTGGTGAATTCACTACAGTAACATGAACACACGGACAGGCTGGAGGGATAAAAGGAAAGTCGGACTGTATGTTAGAGGAAGAGTTTGTTCCTGATGTGTCTCTCTGAGCCAGGTTTTGGTGCAGGCACCAGACTGTTCACTGAAAGCTGCTTTAAGTCTTCTTGAAGACCTGCTTGGAAACAACTCCTGCAGCTCTCAGCTCCTGGAGAGAAAAATACATGTTTGATATGTTTATTCAGACATGTGAGAGACTCAGAAAGTAATGCTGACCAATGAGAACCTCTAAGCAGTAGATGGACAAGGATTAGTGTCTGCATTAACCAGAAGTAAGTGGTGTTTCTTTACTTTAATCATAAAAAGTGATACAAAAAATTACCAACTTGTAGTTAGAAAGGGGGGAGGGGCTAAAAACATCAGAGCTATCACAAACACTGGCATTCAAGGTCACATTGAACCCTGTGGCTGATTTAGAATCACCAGTTAAAATAACATGCATGTCTCTGGACTGTGGGAAGACGCAGGTAAGAACCCATGCAGGTACAGGGAGAATGTGAAAAAACTCCACACAGAAAGGTCCCTGCAGGCCGGTGGATTCAAACCCAGGACCATGAGGCATCACTGCTAACCACTGCACTACTACACGCCGCCCTAAAAAAATTAAAATTTAAAAGAAAAAAAAACAAAACAAGGAAAAAAGATGTTCAAGCTTTAAAAGTAAAAGAAAAATAATACCCTGTAGTTTATTTCATTTTAAAAAGACCTATCAAGTTCTGCCAAGATAAGCACGTAAACATGAAATATGGCAGCACTGTGGACTATTGCAAGATATAAACGAGAAGAACAAAGCGGTCTCTTTAATCACGACAAGATTGTTGGTTTGTGTCCGTTCAACCTTGTAACACAGAGATCACTGATGTTGTTTTATTTTATTGATCGCTGATTATTTATTTTCCCAAAGACATGGGTGAATCTTATTGACCCACAAAAGAACACTGAATCCTTCAAATGACCTGAAAAAAGTCGCCCCTCTTTACACTGAATTAATACACATTTCCAGTTGCAGTTCACGTGTCAGCCACCAGGGGTCTCTGTTGCTCTACACTCAAACCGGCTCTGGGGATCTCTCCACTAATACTGTAACTAATTTCAGGGAAGCTGATTGAAAACATCTGCTAGCATCACTTAAACCAAATAACTTGGCAGATTATTTTTTGTTTAGCTTTGATGGCCGTAATCATACACAGGAAAATCTGATAATGCTGTGCTAATGAAAACACTAATGGGCTACTTATTACGTTAATGTATTTTCAGATGCAAATGCGCTTTAACAGATTTTATAAAAACATTTATGATGCATTTGTTGGCTAACTCGAAGGCTCTGCTCCTAATGACTGACAGAGGTGCCAACTACAAGAGTAGAAGAATTTGGATGGCTTTTAATTTCACAGTATGCACGTTTTTTTTTTTAATCATGCAGTTTGCATCTGGAGGGAACACTTGGGAATCAAATATGTGAGCAGAGCTATTTAATTAAGTGGAAATAATTATTTGGCTGTGAGTCAGTTGTGTAACTGTCAGAAATCCTCCATACAGACTGTAATGTTACTGCAGCTTGAGCTGGTAGTTAATTCATGCTAGAGTCCCACATAAAAATCAATGCTCTTCACATACAGCGCTGAGAGGCATTCTGGATTTGGATTAAAGTGTCTAAATTGAATGCATTAATATTCATGGCAGGGACTGATGTTTTCTTACCAGATGAAGCTCATCTCCCTCCACCCAGTGGGTCCAGCCTCTCCCTTCGATCTCTCCCTTCTGCACACACACCAGCCTGTCCCCCTCCCAGGTGATGGTGGTCTGCAAAACATCACAAGACAGAGAGAGAGTGAAAAAAGCACGAGGCATCAGGGAAGGATCTCTTACTACTCTTAAAACAGAGCATATTGATTTTAGTATGCAGAATACAATAAGCTGAATGAGTAACCCAGTTCTCACCATTTTCCATAATTATTCAGATAGATCTTTACACACAAACATGTGAATTTCCCTCTTAGCGGCACTCCAAACAGCTTAAGGCTTAACTAAAATCAGCCTATAAGCATACAAAAAAAGGGCTTTCGATGGGGACCACAAATAATCTGTGATCCTATTCAGCAGTCAGTGACATAATCTGATTAAATATGAGTTCTATCCTCGACCAGTTCTTTCCATGCAGCTTTTGACATTGTTCCTTTTTACAACAATTTATAAGAGTTTGTAAAAAGTTGGAGGAAACTTTTATGAGTGGGTAGATGTTTTTTCTGCTATTGTATAAAACAACCAGTTCTTGCAACACCATGTGCTCATTATGCTGAAGGGTGGAAATCGTTTACACGCCCACAGAATCTGCACTCCTGTGTGTCACTGCCCAAGATCCCAACACCTGGCAGCAGTGTGGTTCATCTGTGATGTTTAGCTAAAGTCTCAGCAGGTTCCTAACTACAGATGCATTTAAGTACAAAAAGTAAAAAATCTTACCATGCATTTCCTGTCGTCCACTCCAGACAGATCCTCCTCAAACTCTTGGCCCACGTAGAAATCCATGTTGTAGTTTTTGAAGGTGCTGAGAGTCTTGATGATTATGTGGTCGCCCTCGTGAACGATGTCCTTGTCAGGCTTCAGCAAGGTGGCAATTTTCCTGATGGCAATGTTTACATCTGGCCCGTGGGCAAGGTGACAGAAAATGAATGGAAAACAAAGAAGCAGTGAGGTTTTATGCATATATGGACACACAAAGAATTGCCTCAGATTGTGTAAAGATCAGGTTTATAATGTCATCATTGCTTTTTCGAGCTGTACATTTGTGATCTGTGCCTTCCTTCTCTGGGCTTGATTCCCTGCTGAACTAATAAACTCACCCAGAGCTTTCAGATACTCCTCGAAGTTATCATTGGAAATCATTTTCCAATATCCGGTCAGATTAGGGACCATGTTGGCTGTTCCTCTGCTGGTTTCTTCACTTCCAGAGAATGAGGATGTCTGTTGTGGACATCTGCTGGGGATGGAGTGCAGAAAATACTCTCAAAAGCCTCAATTTGAACCAAACTCATTTTAATCCGATTACCCTGCTGGGTTTCACTTCTTTTCTTTTTTTTAACGGAAAATGTTGCTGGCACCTCCCACTTCCCTCCCAATGCCAACACCACGTAATCTCTCAATCCTCACCGCGCTTTTACTGTGCTGGGAACCAGCGGTATGCATGTAAACACTTGTGTGCCTTATGTTGGAGAATGCTTACGTGTTTAGGTGGGATTCTGATCAATACGCCTTCTCTATTAATTGACACAGGCCTGTTTATTTATGAAGCCACGTGTGTCAGATTTGGCTTGAAAGCTGATTCTTTTGTATAAAATGAGGCCTGCTTCAATGATGTTTGAATCATTTTTTCCTTTTTTTTTTTTTAAATTAAATATCGGAGCCATCGACAGTCAGACTAAATGAGTACAAAAGAAATCACTCAGAGAGCAAGTGAAAATGGCTGAATGGAGCATGCTAAGAGGATAATATTCACAGCACAAAAGCAGAATCACCTGAGCTTAAAATGATCCAACTCAAACAATTATCTGTGGCACAATATGTCTGTCACATCTTCTGTCTCGCCTAAATAACTCAATTAATTTGATAATCTCTCTTTTGGGCAGCGCGCTGCAGCCAACACACCGCCTAAATCCTTTGCTGACTGAAAGAC